CTGTCTTTGTAGTTTATTTACTGTAGGCTCAACTGACTGGGTGCAACCTGAAGTCCTCTGGAATAGTAAAAGTAGAAATCCTCAATACTTCCTCCCAGGGCTATTTATAAAAGTGTCTTTGTTTATTACAAACATATTTGAAATTATTCAGTTCAAAAATTGCAGTGCTGTGTTTCTAATCACTATATCACTATTATTTGAGCATCAAGGAAGTAGTATACATTGGTGTACTATTAACATGGCATGCTTATTATAAACGGAGTTTATAATTGTTCTATTCTAATTGTTAATTCTATTAAGCAACGCATAGTTGCAATGAAATATTATATTTTAAATACTGTACAAATATGAAATTAAAATGATTAATTTGAGGCATGGGGAAAGCTGAATACACATAAGATTATTAGATGCAAAATTAATCTCCAAACCTTGAATTCAAAGATTGGAAACACTGACTATCTATTGGAATGGACAGTTTATTTGTCCATGGTATTCTTGCCTGGTAAACTCTCTGAAGGCTACCACCATATTTATACTAATCTCTATTTTATTCAGTGACTAGCATGCTGCCTAATATGTAGTGTGATTAAACACATACATACATATACTTTATATATACAATAATCAACTTGTTGGATGACTACATGCATAAAAAAAGAAGAAAATATTTCGTTTCTCCATGCAGGTACAGGGATGAACAGGGAGGCTGTGAATGAGGATATGGGTGAAAAATTAGGATAAATTGGTAGAAACAAGAAGACATTAGTAAACCTAACCTTTAAAAGAGTTGTTCAAAAAGAGAAACACCTATGTTGGTAATAGAGCTTTCTCTGTAACAAGATAGGTTCAACTGAGGCTAGATTGTTCCTGGACCAAACCAAGGGTTGGACTGCTTATTCTTGTGGCCCAACAACGAGATGCAGATGAACTGGGAGAGAAGGGAGTTTACTTCAATAACTGGGCGCAGGGATAAAGCCTGGAAATTATCACCAGACCAACTGAAAATTGCAAAGTTTTCCAGAGCTTATATACCTTCTAAGCTATCTTTCTATGTATAAGTGTGCATTCATCTAAAGACATAAATGATTAACTTCTTCTAACTATAATGAAAGTCTCAGTTTTGAACACCTTCCTCTGGAGCTTTAGCCATAGTAAATTTACTTAATCTAAATGGGTCCAGGTGCTGGAGTGACTACCTTATCTTGTCTCCTGCTAAATCCTGGAGGTTTGGGGAATTCCTTCAGACCCACAATAAACTTCTCTGTGAAGTTCTGGGGAGTTTCCTCAGACCCACAGGAAAACTTGTTTAATCCTAAACTGGTCCTGTTAAGAATTCCTTCAATACCTTGTTATAGTTCGAGGCCCAGGAAAGGCCCAGGCAAAACTCTTGGTGGGCTTTTGCTATATTCCAGCCTTTGTATGAGGGCACTGGCTCTATCAGCTTTTAATATTTAACTTAACCACTCAGTCAGTGCTGAAACAGTTGTTATGGAAGCCTGTATTCGTGAGACCTGGCCTGCCACAAGGTGACCCCCTATACTGAATATTCTAGAATTCACTGCACTGGCCGAGTGGATGTTCAAGGTAACACCTCAGATCTCTTTTAGTAGTCAAATGTATTTCAAACCAAAATAAAAACAACAAACTTCTTGGATACCAAATTACTAAGACATTTGAATAAATTAGCTGGTCAATTTAATTAATATAATTGATCCCGTTATCTTGGAAACAAATCCAAAGATTGTTTTCTGTATCTGACAATTTTGCATGACTTATAATGGCATGAGGCAATGAATGAACTAGTAAGTGTTGGAAAAGTGTTAGTACTACTAGTATGGTTTGACTCTGTCACCACCCAAATCTCACCTTGAATTATAATAATCCCCACGTGTCGTGGGAGGGACCTGGTATGAGGTAATTGAATCATGGGGGCACGTTTTCTCATGCTGTTCTTGTGATAATGAACAAGTCTCACAAGATCTGGTAGTTTTATAAAGGGGAGTTCCCCCACACAAGCTCTCTTGCCTGTCACCACGTAAGAGGTGACTTTGCTCCTCATTCACCTTCCGCCATGATTGTGAGGCTTCCCTAACCATGTGGAACTGTGAGTAAATTAAACCTCTTTCCTTTATAAACTACCCAGTCTCAGGTACGTCTTTGTAAGCAGTGTGAGAACAGAAGAATACAACTACCTCCCTTTTATAGGCAGTAGTGTTGTTTGCTATTTCCTTAGTGCAAATAGAGCTTCTCAAAAAAATTTGCCTTCTTATCAGATGGAATTTGACTAAATTTTTTTAAAGAATTAACAGGGACAAAGGACTTTATGAATGTGACCTGTCTTGATCTTTAATGTCTTTCAAAAGCTCTCAAAAGATGCCCCTTGCCATTGTCAGTGTTCTGGAAGTAAAAGTGGGAACTGGCTGGCACCAAGCACAGAGTAACAGTCATTAGTTCTAAATGCTGAGTAATGGAGCATGACATTTTTCATCAAGAACATCAAAGAGAAATGGTCCTTAAAATATCTACAGCATCAAGTACTGTACATGGACAATTACCATGTGATAGTTAAGTAAAGTGGGTACGCATAGGTTGTTTGTTATCACTGCAGTTCTCTCAGAATCCAGAGAGAATGATACTCCCTTTTTACTTAGGAACAGTTTTATATATGAAGCTTAACTCCTCAACAGCAGTGCAACGTAGTCTTCGTGAACTGCTTCAGTTAAATGCACTGTTAAAAACCACAGTCATGAAATTAGAAAAGTGATAAGAACTTCAGAAATCAACCCTTTTTATCTCATATTTCATGTGAGAAACCTGAAGCCCAGATTGATTGTCTTGTACAAGATGATGTAGAAAGTTATTAGTAAGTCTGTTTGCCTTTGTCTTAGGCCCATACACTTAATGATTACATTGCCAATTCATTGAAAGATTAATATGGTTAATTAAATAGTCTAAATTAACTAAATGACATATGTCAATATTACAGGGTGAGCTGAACTTGCACATTTAACCTCTTTCCTCACCACCTTTCCAACTCCCTGAAATCCATAGCAAAATATTTATACCACATTGGAAATTGAGGAGGAGTGCTGGTTACATGCCAGAAATTTTATGGAATCTTTGCAAGATATAGGATAAGTGAGATCAGAATGAGAGGTAGGCTAGGACATCAAGGGCAAAGTCAAAGTCTGATAAATATCTGGCAGAATCTAGCACCAATGTCAAGTTCAGAAGGAAGGTGTTGGGCACAAGGGCAGTAGATGAGAAGTAAACACTAGTCTTTTCAGTTCTTCTTAGAGTAGTATTTATGTGCTAGTACACATAATGTCATCCAGGGTACTCATTTCTAGCTTGCACTTACTGTGGAATAAAGGATTCTATGTGTGTATATTTGGTGGGTGGCAGGGGGTCAGCCACTGCCATCCGAAGTCTTACAGAAATAAAGCAGCACTCCAGCTAACCTGGTTTGTAACAACCAACATGAATAATATAACTTCAGCACAGTGCAAACACTTCCCCTAACCAAGTCTTATCTTTTACGGATGGCAAAACAAATGGACTTGTCATCTGGCATCGTAGCAATGTAATTGATCTACATCTAAATCTAATTGATTTCAATTCATTATTTTCTGGGATGCAAGTATTTGAATAAAGACTCAGACCAATCTGATAGAAACCATGTTATAGCCATAAACATAAGAAATTTGTGTCTTTCAAAATAAGAAACTTGTATTATGTGTAGCTATAATTTGTTTTAGAATAATTATAAAATAATAATAATTATTAGGTTGGTGAAAAAGTAATTGTAGTTTTGCCATTACTTTCAGTGGCAAAACCACAATTACTTTCGCACAAACCTAATAAAATAAATCTAAAGAAAAGTCTGTATTCCAAGAAAAAGAACATAAATTACACAGGTTGGAGCAAGTGTTAAAGCAGCCATGGCTAATGGAAATAGAAGATTTGCAGTTCAGGCCATCAGTTTTCATAAAGAATAAGGTTTGCAGCCCATCTCAAGTGTCTGTTTTGTTTTGGGGTCAGAAACTTATAGCATGTTATTGATATGACTCAAATCTTTAACACAAAAGAGAAAATTAAATGCAAAGTATTAAAAAAGAGAACTTCAGACTATAAAGCCTAGAACATTAAATATTCTTTCTTTTTTACTCATTCGATATAAAACTTATGTTGCCTCTCTTAACAAAATACTGTTAAGTATCTTCTCATCCAATTACCTCCTTTTATCTGATTCTTTATTCACAATCAAACATCTCATTATTATAGTAAAGCTGTGCCTGTAGTGAGGAAAATATCTTACGGACATCCATGCAAGTGTTTCATTTTACATATTATTTAAAGCAATTAATTGATCCTCTGATTTTATGGGCTGGTGTGGAGGAGGAGGCATGGACACCTACATGCATTAATAGAGCAAAGGAACAATGATATTAATGTATGATGAAGAGAACTTAAGGCCAAACAATAAAGTTGATATGAAGTTTTCCATGGATAATTGTATTGTTTGTAAACCCTTAACCATATAATAACATAACATTGCAATACGTAAAATAAAATGAAATTTTTAGGAAATTATTTTAACACACATTCTTAAGTCATTTGCAAACAGTTTAAACCAAAGGAAAACATGGATATAGCATATTTAAATAATATAATCAGTAACATACATCTTATGTGAAATCTTATAAAAGATGTACAAATATTCTTTTCTAATGGAGCTTTTATACAAATTGGCATACTAAACCATACAGAAAAATCGGTCATGAAATTTTAGTGCCAATGTTCCCAGGCCACATCGGAATAAATTGAGAGATAACAAAAATAGAAAAATAAAAAATCAAGAACATTTTAGCTCCAAAATATTTGAGTAAAATATTTTTAAAAATTTCAACACGTCAAGTAAGAAATAAGAGCTGCAATGGCATATTACTCTAAAAATGAAACAGTCAAAGAATAATTTTTTCCAAAACTTGTAAATAGCCTTTTTTTTTTTTTTTTTTTTTGCTTCAGCTGTTGTTTATTGACATACAGGTAGGCTCTATAGCAACAGGCCTGGAGGCGCTGCAGTAGTCTGCAGTAGTGGGGGAAAATGGAAGGTGGAGGGTGGAGTGTTTGCTGCAGGACAGCTGAGTGGAGGGCGTGGACAGGTGCGAACTAGGGAGGCCCAGGGGGCTGGGGAAGCAAGTAAGGGCCAGGGCCAGAGTCAGCTTCAAGGGAACAACAGCCCTGTGCCCTAAGGCCCCTAACTCTCTAGCTGTTTCCTGACCCCAGGCCAGGGTTGGGAGTCCTCTGGGCATCCATTTTTTCTCAAGGAACTGGACGGAGTATACACAGGAAAGGAAGCTGTCACCCTCTTGCCATCTGGCTCCAGGGGCCTCCAGTCCAGCATTCCTCCTTCTTCCCTTGATTGGGTGGGGCCACATGATGGGCAGCCAGGCTCTGGGCTGTCCCACTAGAGCAGGCTGCAAACACAGCCATGTTTCAGCGAGGCACTAATCTTCTTCCCTGGTGTCCCAGCCCGCCAGTGCCACATTACAGCCCAGAGTGAGTTCTGCAAGCGTTGCTGGCCTAATGGATGGGTTGGGGGAAGGGAGTGGGACAGGGGCTGGAGGAAGGGCTCTCAGGTTCATCACGGCACAGGAACAACACGCATGGTGTTGGTGAAGCCGGAGCCAGGGCGCCATCCGGTCAGCACGATGACCACATCTCCCTTCTTGAAGAAGCCTTGGGCCTTGCCAACATTCATGGCAAAGTTCACCTGGAGGTCCACGTCCTCAGCCCAGGCCTCCTGGACTGGGTCCTTGCACAGCACAGGGAAGATGCCACAGTACAGGTGGGCCTGACGAACTGTCTGGGGATTCCGGGTCACAGCAATGATGGGGGCATGTGGGCGGTATCTGGTGAGCAGACCTGCCAGACTTGGTGGGGACGATTATGGCCCCACTGCAGCACTTGAAGGAGGCCTCCACGGCACCCACGGCAGTGGCTTCTGTGGGGTCCCTGGTAATGGGCGCCAGGCGGCGGAGTTCCTCAAATAATTGCAAGTGGTAGATGGCGGCCTCTGCTTCACGGGCAATCAGGTGCTTCATGTGCACAGCCTCCCGAGGATAGTCCCCTTTGGCTGTTTCTCCAGACAGCATGATGCAGTCGGCTCCATCCAGAATTGAATTGGCCACATCACTGCCTTCAGCCCAGGTGGGGCGGGGCTTCTTGATCATGCTCTCCAGCATCCGAGTAGCACAGATGACAGGCTTCCCAGCTCGGTTGCACCACCCAATCATCATCTTCTGAGCAAGGAAGACCTTCTCCGCAGGAATCTCAATGCCTAGATCACCACGAGCCACCATGATCCTATCACTGGCCTCCAGGATTTCATCAAACCTCCGAACCCCCTCATGATTCTCGATTTTGCTGATTATCTTGATGTTCTTTCCCTTCTCTCCCAGGACCTTCCTAACTTCATGGACATCAGCTGCCTTGAGGATGAACGACGCAAACACTATATCGACATTCTGCTCGACCCCAAACTTCAGATCCTGGATGTCCTTTTCCGACACAGCAGGCAAGTCCACAGCAGCCCCAGGAAGGTTCACACCCTTCTTGCTGCCCAAGGAGCCACCATTTTCCACCTCCGTCACCAGGAAGTCAGCACCTTTCTGCTTCACCTGAAGAGAAATAAGTCCATCATCCACGTAGATCTTGCTGCCCACTTCCACCACTTTGCAGATGTTCTTGTAGTCCAGCCACAGGATGTTCTCGTCACACTTTTCCATGTAGGCGTTATCCAGCGTGATTTTGAGAGTGGCTCCCTTCTTCAGCACCACCTCTGCAGTGCCACTGCCCTTGATGAGCCCAGTTCGAATCTCAGGTCCTTTAGTGTCCAGAGCCACAGCAACGGGCCGGTAGAGGATGGGGTCAGAAGCAAAGCCTTCCGTGGCTGTGCGCACATTCTTGATAGTCTCCGCGTGGTACTCATGAGTTCCATGAGAGAAGTTCAGAAGAGCCACATTCATTCCAGACTTAATCATCTCCTTCAACGTCTCCACTGATCGGGAAGCTGGGCCAATGGTACAGATGATGCCAGTGTTCCGGGCTGTGGTGGGTGGTGAGTCAATGTCCAGGCGGCACATGTGCTCCAGGAATGTGTCAGCCATGGCTGCATGCAGCTGCTGGGTCTGAATGAAGGCAGTCCCGGCTTCACTATGGGGCTTCGACATGGCTGCTGAGGTCCTCCGGCGCTGACCGACTCGGGCTACGCTGCAAACTGGAAGAGATGTGGATCCCAGGGACGTGCAGCTGCTGTGCTATAGCTAAATTTTATTCAGAACAATATAACTTTAAATGTCTCTATTATTTGATGAAAGACATAAAAATTTATTTCTCTGAGCTGCACAAGACCCAGAATGCTCTAACCAAGAGTACATTTAAATATTGAAGCAACAGATTCTAGGCTATTTAAACTCTTTCAGGATATAAAAACAAGTAAATAAATAAAAAGATTAAAAACAGCTTAAAATTCCATTTGAGAAGTTCATGTTAACAAAAAGAAACATTAAAAATAAATTATGATTGAAAAACAAAATGAAAAACTGTAACTATTAAAAATTCAATTTAGTAAATTTTAAAAAGAGTATAAAATAGGGTCAGGCAGAGGTTACTCGAGAACTTAAAGAATAATTCAATATTAAGTCACTATATTTTTCATCATATCAGTAAATCAGATGAAAAAAATTTGACGTTATGAATAGAGGCCAAAATAGTGTTTGATTAAATATTAAATTCATTCTTGATGTAAAACAATATAAAAATAAACATTTAAAATGTGAGCGTAAAAATAACATAGAACATATAACTTGACCCAGTCAGTATTATGCAATATTGGAAGAAAACAAAAGCTTTTCATAAACGTGCTGTTACTTCTCTAATAAAAAATTTGGAAGGAGGAGGATAAAAGAGGGAAGAGTGGTAATTTGATGGTGTCTTAGATTTGATGCAGTACTATTCACAGCTGTTAAAATCTTGTCCATAAATAGAACAATTTCTCAGCTAATCACATGAAAATCAAATTTATAACCAATTACAAAAGAAGTACATGCAATCAGGGCCTATGCATACATCATCTCTGAACTTTCTTCAGTGTTTAAATACAAGACTAGATGAAAGAGGTAGAAATTACTGAAAGTAGAATTTCCCTCCATACATTTTCTCCTTAACAAGAAAGAAGATCCCTTACCAAATTGTTTAGCTGAGAAAAAAATCAGTATTTCCAAGAAATGTATATGTTTGTGCTAATTAAACTGATTGTTTTCTTAATACATACTATGAAATGTAATAATCACTGATCTACCTATAAGAGTAAATTACAGCAGTCTATAGCCCCTGTCTAATTACAAAATCTCTTAAAACCTTTGGAAGCCTTTGGAAATTAAAACCTTTGGAAATTCTCTTAAAACCTTTGGATTCAGAGAAATCTGACGAATTTTGACTCCAGCATAAAATATATTGTTTAACATGTGTGACAGCAACAAATTAAAATCAGATTATAAAAATAGGAAACTTAAAGGGGTCAAATCTCAATATGTTTCCAAAAACTAAATGTTTCTGCTTAAGGAAGAAAACGTTTACTTCTGATTTTAAAAAGAAAACATAAATCTCAAAATAGTTACAGTAGTCTCCCAAAATTTTATTGTATGATTATAGGAGTTTATTTTTGACTGTGTCTTTGAAAGTTTATTTTGATAATATATTTCAAACAGAAATGCTTTGTACTAGTGCTTTGTGTAAGTACTAGTGACTATTTCAGACTCAAAGTTGTATTGAAGTAGTGAAAAATATATTGTGTTTTTGAACCCTTGACATTCTTGTTTACAGAATTGGCATCGCTATTGCCTTAGTCCGTTTAATACTGATACAAAAGAATACCTGGGGCTGGGTAATTTCTAAGGAAAAAAGACCTATTTGGTTCACTCTTCTTATGGTGGGAAAGTTCAAGATCGGGCATCTGCATCTGGTGAAGGTCTTAGGCTGCTTCCACTCATGGCGAAAGGCATCAGCCAGCACAGAGATTACCTGACGAGAGAGGAGGCAAGAGGGCGAGGGGGAGGTGTCCAGCTCTTTCAACAACCAGCTCTTGCAGAAATTAAGAGTGGGAACTCATTCACACTGAGGGAGGGCATTGGTCTATTCACGAGAGATCTGCTCCTATGACCCAAACACTTCTCAATAGACACCACCTCCAACACTGGGGATCCAAGTGAAACACGAGGCAAAGGGCATACATCCAAACCATAGCAGCTAGTTATATCATCTAGAACATCCAGAAGATATCTGATAACTTACGAGTACACTGGTTTCTAGTCTTTGAAGCCATGTATTGGGACATATTGTAATATGCGGTATCTTCTAGTTGCTGGGGTTTTTGTGATATGCAGAGCTTTTGAACTTTTTTCAGGATTAGAATAAATAATCGTGCATCAACTTTGTAACCTAACTTGGTGCCCTCCTGCTCTGACTGAAAGTCTCTCTTCCTGATTCTATCATTGACAAAACTGAAAGAAGCCACAGAACACATTTGCTTTGGCATTTGTCGAGACTTCCTAATTTTTTTTTAAGAAAAGAAATTTTAAAGCAGAATAAAAAAGTCTTTGACTCATGGACTCTTGATAAATCAAGTATATGATCCAGTGTCTTTGCAGTGTGACTATAAAATAATATCAATTAAACTTAAGAAGAATTAACAAGATCCGTAGTTAATTTAAAAATGTAATGTGGAGTAAAAGAAGCAAGTGACAAAATATTTTATTTAAATATGAAGCACAATATATTTTTATTAATATCTTTATTATGAAAATGTGCAGATTGAAAGAACGAGCACCAAGTTTGTAATATTAGGACAAAAGGGGGTCTAGATGTGGACAGAAATCTAGAAAAGGTTTTACATTTTGTAATACTCTAAAAAGGAATATACATCTATTTATGTATTTGTGTGAGTATGTATATGTTTACATGTGTTCAGAGACAGCATATATAGTTATGTATAGTAATTACACAGTATGTTTCAGATAGATTGATAGGATTAAGAGTATAGGCTTTCAGCTTGATTTATTGAATTTGAAGCCTTTTCTTCTAGCTTTGGGGAAAATATTTGGGAGCAATATTCATTATCTCTTTAGGAAAGGATTAGAATTCTCTACCTCATGCATATCTATCTTCTCCTTTCAACTTGCTTTGATCAATGAACTGTGAGGGAAATTGACATGTGTCTCCTGAGCAAAATCTTGTGAAACCAGCATGTCCTTCACATTTCCCTCCCTTTCCACCTGTGTTTGTGGTCATGGAAACAGGTGGAGATGGACCCTCAGTCAGCCTGGATCCCTGAGTCATTATGATGCACAAAACTCCATTGCAATGCACATGTAGCATGCATGAGAAATGAGGCTTTTGTATTTTAAGTCACTGAGACTATTGTTTTATATACAATTGTAGCATAAGCTAGCTCATTCTGACAGATACAGATGCATTGCTGTTGTACTTTTATACAAGTCTAAATTAGAATGAGTTTAGAAAACTAGTGTGTTGTTCCTAAATGAATATAAACTCTCAAGAATTGTTTTCCAGCAATCAGTCCATATCAGACCTGAGCACTTAGGATACAAATACATGCATCTCAGTCTGTTCTCCATGTGTGAATAAAGCAGGGCATAGAGAGAAAAGTAGTCATGTGAAAAAATAAATAAAAATACGTTTTATGTTTTATAACAGGATGTTAAGTGCATTTTCTCCAGTGATGTCCGTTATTCTTTTGATACTCCACAGTAAGGACAATGGGCATTAGTTGAAGAGGACAGACCATCTCATCTGACTTCCCAGTCAGGGTGGTCTGGGAGCTGATTCTGCAAACCTTAGCCTATAGCCATCTCCAAACAAGAGCATCTGCAAAGAGGAGGCCAAGATATTGAGAAAGTGAAATTGGTGGGGTTTTCCTTGAAGAGAATTGTGGGCAAATTGTGCTCTTCCCTTTCCTTGGACCCTGCTCCCCATCACCTCAAGAAGAGTGAAAGCGCATCCAAAGAATGGCTTAATGAACAGAAGCCGGGGCCGCGCGGTGGCTCATGCCTGTAATCCCAGCACTTTGGGAGGCCGAGGTGGGTGGATCACAAGGTCAGGAGATCGAGACCATCCTGGCTAACACGGTGAAAACCCGACTCTACTAAAAATACAAAAAATGAAAAAAATAAGCTGGGCGTGGTAGTGGGCGCCTGTATTCCCAGCTACTTGGGAGGCTGAGGCAGGAGAATGGCGTGAACCCGGGAGGTGGAGCTTGCAGTGAGCTGAGATCACGCCACTGCACTCCGGCCTGGGCGACAGAGCAAGACTTTGTCTCAAAAACAAAACAAAACAAAACCAGAAGCCCTGGAGTTGGGGAGTCAGGAACAGGGCGTGACTCTTGTTGACAGGAGTCCTGTCTGTGAAAGAAGCTGAAGTGTTTTGTGTGATGGAGCGCAGGCAGAACGACATGATAAGAAGAGTTCATAATTCTATAGAGACAGAAGTAGCGGGATTTTCGTGTAGGAAGAGTTTAGCGCATGGGAGGTAGCAGAACTGTAGTCATCTTTTTTTTTTTTTTTTTTTTTAGGTATTCTTTTTTTATATATATATTATTATACTTTAAGTTCTAGGGTACATGTGCATAACGTGCAGGTTTGTTACATATGTATACTTGTGCCATGTTGGGATAACTGTAGTCATCTTAAGAGACTTGGCCCCAGAGAGCTGGCTCCGGGTAAGGTGACTGAGAGCCGCCTGGGCAGGGGCACCGCACCGCGGGGAAGAGTCCGCCCTGGAGGGCTCTGCTCCTGCAAAGGCTCAGTGCTGTGGGAGGCTGTCCAGTACACAGTCACCACTCAAGGATTAAAGGGGCAGAATTTCGGAATTTGTCACACAAGCCCCAGTCCAGAAACATCTGGCCTTTTCTTCAAATCCTCTTTCACTGCTGTGCCCGACCTGAAGGTCAGCTAGAAAGCAGGTAAGGCTGGAATAAAGGAAGAAAGAAGAAAAGTGCACGTGCTCCTCCCTACCCCTCTGCAAGCCTGGAGAACCTCACATCAAGCCTGGGAGTGGGACGGGGAGCTGGAAATGAAGTTATTTTAGACTAGGCTGCACTTTTTTCT